TTCAGCGCAGCTGTTATGTCAATGAAAGGAATTTTTCCGAACGTGAGTAATTTTATATTCATAAACATTAACCAACAGTCTGGAGGTCGCGGGAAGGTTGAGGACAACCCACGCAGTCATCAACCTGTAATGGCAGGCTTCTTGCATTCTAATTTAGAGCTTTTCAACTTTTTCTATTTTTTTAGAGTATGACAAGCTGTTAAAATAATCTCTGCATTTTATTATGAGAGTCACTGGGCAGCAACTCTGGGTTACATTACACTGCACCTCACAAACAGAGAGATAATTTAACTCCCATTATATTGATGGCACAAGAGTTTTTCAAACGTAAACAGAAACAATTTTTATGTGCTGGGGTTACGGTTGTCCAGAACTGCTAGCTGCTTGATATCTCCATTTAAACGAAACTTTCAAAATATTAAGCTAGTTTATGATAAGTTAGGACTTAGGATAGATTAAGCAAGAAATAGTCACTTAACCTTGATTTAATAACAATTAACCTAACTAACCAATCCTAACCGAACCTACTTTGACCTAACCAAACGAAATCAAACGAAATCGGAACAACGTAAATATAATATAAAATTCACATATTATTCCAGTGTTATTATCAATCCATCGCTAATAATTATTCCATTCTTATTATTCCATCGTTATGAATATTCCGTCGTATATATATTTTCGCTTGCTACTAAACTTATGTGTAGCGTGCCCTCGAAGTTCGTTTGAACCAGACACCCCGATAACACCTCTCGGACAATTTTACGGCCGGTCTCCAAATTTATACACATACTCAGCGTTCATGAATGATCTCGTAAACTAATGAACACAGCTTACTGAATCTTTACAGGTGTATTTTTTAGGGCCTAACGGTGATGTCTAGGCCGTGTGAATTTGTTCGATTTTGCACTCGGTCTCGACTTATACGGTCATACGCGGAATCCAATACATGAACGTTGTAATACATAAATATACATATTCACTGAGCATTATCTTTTCAGTACAGTTGCCTTGTTTGTTGTGTTCGTGATCCGCACCTCTCCCCAATAACTTGAAGAATTTCTTATAGATTTGGTTTTTCATGTTTTATGTAGTCATTTCACATTTACTTCTCATGTTATTATTAACAATAGACTGAGTATTCATAAACGTCTTTATCAACTCGTACGTAAGTTTAATTAGCAGATTCAGAGTGGCGGTCCACGTTAATGTCGCATTAACAGCAACTCGCTTTGCTTTGCCTGCTGTCACTAACCGAGCGCAAAATACATTCGTCGTCATTTGCTTACTCGGCGTCAGCGACGCTAGCAATAACATCGCCGGGCCCTCAGTGGGACCTGGCCCAGTTCATTTGTACAGCCGATTATTACTTAATTATGGTAACGCATTAGTTGCCAGTGTGGCTACATATTTGCCCACATTTTATTATAAAAGTTATTGCATAAATAATTCATGATTTAGTCCTGATATACATACATGAATGAACCAGCAATGAGTGAAACATAATTTCAATTTAAGATCGTAAAGTATTAGTATCTGCAGATCCGAAAATATTTCAGCAAACACAAGTGCTGTAAATTTCTGATTTGAAACTCACCCATCCAATATTCATGAAACGTTGGACATTCATTTCGCGTCAACGTAAATATATATTAGGCTGTTTCGGTGCGTACTTACGATATAATAGGTAATATCCCATGTCTATATTATCTGGGAGTAACATTGCATTTCTGACGGGGGAAATCGAACCTAACAGCGGTACGTGATAAGATTATTGTAAACAGCAAATTTTTAATTAGATTATTAATTGTTAAGTGCAAATCCTGATAATAACTTGAAACGTTTCCTTCTGATATAAAACTTGAAATTCGATGATAAATAGTTCTCAACGGTAATTCTTCAACCTATGAACTTTATTTGCAAAACTATTAATTTGATTGGGATGCACGGGATGACGAGATAACGGTGTTCTCAAATTACACGTAATATCAATCCCAGTAAAACCTGATTATTTCAAATGACCAAATAAAAAAGTCTGAGGAAATTCAGACAAAGTATGAATGAATGTCAAGCGAACCGAGACAAAAGCTTAGTTTGATAGCTGATTACCGATGAAATATAAACTAAACGTTATATACAGCACTAAATAACACGAGGTTATAATACATATTAAATAATATTACAACGAAATTATAATGTCGTGCTTACAAAATTGTTATTAAGAGACCAAAAATTCAATTTTCGTGATTAATCAGGGAGTCAACCGCATTTCAACGTTTATTGTAACTGGACGATGATAAGTCAACATGTTCATGTTTGAATAATTCACTAGCCATGCACTGAAACACTCAAGAAGCAATTGATGCACATGCAACATAGGGCAGAAGATCACACACACCGAAGAGACATGAATAACTTTTGATAACTTTTCGAAAATACCTGTACATCATCAACGTTATATGACGTTTTTAACTAATTTCATTATAATAAATCAGCAAGAATCAGAAAATATAATTGTGACAATAGCATTATGAATATCATTGTTCTAAAATACTAATTATTAACCGAATAATTATTAAATGTTACATAGGGTTTGTTTAAATAGGGGCGGATATTGTGCACAATAATGCCGCCCAGAACGTGGCCTTCGGCTCTTGTGTAGTTCTCAATTTGTGTAACGATTATACGAATTCAATCACTAACTGTCTGATCTATTGGCTCCGTATCCTGCTGATAGTTGACTGTGGTTCAGTTTGAAGGCACACAACAATTTTTGTGGCAATTAATTGACGTTTATCCTCGTATATTTTAATTGAGTTCGCGAATGCAACATTAATTTAAGATGCAGAATTATGTTAAAGGCATTAATATCAATTATTTGTATAAAAATGCATCCATGAGATAACTTACACGTAGAAAGAAGTGAAAATTGAAGGAAAACACGAAACGCAGCTTTATTAAAGAACTGATCCTGCCTGCCTACTTTATGCACATGGAGTTTAAGTGAAAATATGTGACAGAACGTGTACTATTCACATCAAGCAATAACAATAACTTCAAAGTAAATACTCACAACGGACATTTGTTTTATTTGCCAAATTCCTAAATGAATGCATTGGTGTGGCAGCATAGATTATATTACCAACCACGAAGCTGGTAAAAAATAGTCGTCGAGCATTCAATACAAGCAAGTGCCCCACCAGCTTCATGCAAGGCGCAAATTGTTTCTGCGATCACTCGTAAGTGGTCCTACACAGCGTGAAAATAAGGAACTTTTTGTATGTACACAGTTTTTAAACAATTGGGGACTCCGAAGAATATTTAATAAATAAATTATTATACGTTTAAAAATAACTTTTTAAAGACAACACTTCCAAAGAATCCAGTGTCTCCAATCTTAAAGATGTACCATGAATTTCTCATTTAATTTTCGATTATTAAAAAAATTAATTTTTCAATTTTTTTAATATATAAATTTTTTTTAACATATAAATTTTTTTTTCAAAATTATTTATTCTATTAATTGATTCATGCATTGCCTATGACTTCAAACAAGTGTGCAAAATTTCAGATCAATTAGAGAGGTAAAAGTGTGTCAAATATCAGTTATAAGATTTGTAGCTGAGAAAATTATTTTTTCAATTTTTTTAATACTAAAAAAAAAATTTTTTTTTAATTTTTAAAATCATTTATTTTGACATTTGATTCATGCATTGTCTCCAACTTTAAACAAGTATGCAAAATTTCAGATCGATAGGATAAGTAGAAGTTTGTTAAATTTCGATTACAAGATTTGTAGCAGACAGACAGACAGACAGACAGACAAGAAGTGAAGTTAAAGAGAAGTGTTGTAAAATAAGTGTTCATGGGATAGAGTCAAAGTAAAAGCGCCTTATGCAGTAATAGCTGTTGAAATTGCAACTGCCACGTTCGATGAATGGGAATTTCAAAATAATGATTGATAATTTTAACTAAACGAGCCATTTCTGCCGTCGGCATTTTTTATGATCTAGCTCTGCATTCGAGATCATTGGCGCAGAAGCATGACATAATTTTCATGTTTTTAAAATTCACGACGGAAGCTGAAACGCGTTTTAAGGGCCTTAAAAAATTTTATTCTTATATTTTCGTCAAGGACGATGCCATAGCGGACCCAGAGGTGGCTATGATTGAAGCTCAACCTCTGCAATTCAGAGAGCAATTCAGGCTCGTAAGTTAATGGTTACTGCGAATGAGGTCAGCCCAGGCAACGATTCAAAGCTATTGCGTCACGTCAGGAGAATTATTAGTGGGCAGCTAAGATTTAGGAATTCGACAGAACATCTCCATGGACTATTTTGGCGAATAATTGAGTGGTTTCAGCGATCAAGTGTGAGTTCTGATTTTTCTACTGAAGAGCCAACAGGTCCAAAGCTGTAGAATAATTCCCCGTTCTATTTAGCTGAAAAGTTTATTTCTGAATATCAGACAAGTATGAACAAACATTGAAATTGATTAATGTTGCAGGTTCTAGTGATGATGACGGCCGTGCTGACATAGGAGAACGCAATGCATTAGAAGATAGTACAATACGGCGCTCCAAGAATGCATCACGACGTGGTGGCGAGAATTCTCCCTCTCAATCAGCTGAAAATTCTGCAAGTCATAATGACCCAGAAGATATTCTGGAACTTAAAAATGGGTCTAAAAAAGTTTTATCGAAATCGAGCGAAGGTTTTGAAGTCACCTATGACATCGAGGTCAATAACGGAGAGCTAAATATAACCCCACGAGGTGAGGACGACTCGTCTACAGGAGCCAGAAGAGCTTGGGACAGCGCGCCTAACCAGCACGACCATCACCGCACCGGCGACCAGCAAGACGATCACCGAGCTAAACGAACCACCAAACTATCCAGGAATGAACGAACCACTGCCAGTGAGTTGATGAGTATTTGATGATCTTTTCTTTTGGTGTGCGTGTGAAAAAAAATTCCTGAATATCTATTTCCTACTATAAAGTGCAATAACCTACTTCGGACAAATTTCATGGATGTAGAATTAGATTTACACAAATTGGATTTTAATTAGTTAAAAATTCTCACATATTAGAATTATAGTGTAGAACTTGATTTATGGAGACGTTGCTCCCTTCGTCCCGCACGTCACTTAATGCATTATATTCCATTGGGTTTGTGAGCAGGCGAAGAAGATCTTAAGAAAGAAATAGAAGCAGTCATGGATGAGAGGAAACGAAACGAAGCCAGACGGAAGCAGCTATTCGAGCAAGCCCGACTTCTGCACGACACCATCGTGGAAATAAAGGAAAAGGTTCGATTGTCTGAATCCCGAAATCGTTCCGATGAGATCAAATGAAGTTCAGTATGAATAGCCATTATCTGAACTCTCGGGGAAAGAACAGTGATGGTTCACTGATCGAATAGTTTCTGTTCCAAAAAGTGACGGTTTTAAAACTATTGGTGTAAATAGTCTTTGTTCTGAAAGTATCTGTTCTAATGGTCTCCCTTCTAATAGTATCTGTTCCAGTAGTGTAATTTCTAATGGTATCTGTCCAAAAATCTCCGTTCCAAAAGCCTGCATTTCAAAAGTCTCCATCCCAAGTCTCTATTTAAAAAATCTCTATTTCTAAAATCTCCGTAGTCACCGTGTGAACGGTCCTAAAGTTTCCTGCAAATCAGTTCTCTAAAATGTTCGCCATGTACAGCGCCGGGAGCAATGGTGGGTGCAGTACACTGCAGCGCGACGCTACGGTACAGGGCTGGAAGAGCAGCAGGCCGCACTCAGGGCTGAGCTCGACCACCTCCACAGGAGGATCATAGGATCCATCGTGAAGCGCAGTCCTCTCGTCACCGGAGTCAGGGACGAGCCCAGCAGGAAGGTATGGTGCAACACTGAATTAGGGCGAGGCATTGTCGAAATCGTTTCAAGTAATTACGCTGAATTACTCAATAAAATATTATTATAAATACTAATACCAAATATTGCTCAGCAAAATTAAACGGTACATGCCAATAGATTGTGGACCTCTGGTCATTATATTAAAGACCGTATCGAGCTGAATGGCCGGGCTTAATTTCATGTACTTCCATAGAAAAGCTGAATTTTTAGATGAAGATCTAGCGAATTTACATAGCGGTTTCATTGCTTTAATATTCTTAGTTTACTTTTGTATTAAGCAAACTAAATATATAAGTACTTGTAGTTTCCCAAATGCGCATGCAAAAATATTTATAGAAAATTTGGGAAAATCGTGCAAGGAATAAGTATTTTATTATCATTATAATACTGGATCAATGGAGTGGCACCATGGCTTCTCATTGATCCTTTGTATGACGAGTAAAAGGAAGCGTTTTACAAACGCAAAGATCTATGTACTGATTCCTAACGCGTTTTTGTTAATTACAGGCAAACCTCAAAATATCTGTTATTCGTTTGCGCCATGAGATAGAAGATCTGAAGAAACGGCACGAGTCTATGGATATAAAACTGGAAACGGAAACCAAGGTGAGCTCAAAATAAGGAATTTCATTTTGTACAAATTCAGTAAACCTGTTTTTAAACCACTTTTTTATTTCTAGAAAGGTTTTAATTAGTTATCATTTATTAGAACCAATAATTCTGGAATTATAATAATAATGAATTAATACTCAACTAAATAGTACTAATACTCATCTGCCATGGGTGATTGAGCCAAGGCGTGATTTAAAGTAGAAGACTTGCATATCACTTTCATGAACTTATTGGTGCTCAGGCCTAAAAAATTTCCGTGGACCTTCAATCAAAAGAAAACGATCTTAATTTATAACTGATATCCAATAACACAAATAAAGAGCCTAATCTCTAATTACCCAGCAAGAACATTAATTTATTTGCAGGCTGTAACAATTCACTGCCTCGATTTTATCACATTGTTACTTTGAGTTACAGCTGAAAGGTCAGGCTGAGAAGGAAGTGAAGCAGCTTCGACAAGAGGTCAGCAAGAAGAAGATTGACGTTGCGCTATGTCGATCCAGAAACCCCACACTGAACCGCAGTTTGGGCGACATACCCATGAACATCTAGCACAGTGGCTCCAGGGTGGGCAGTGTCATGAGCAATACCACCCTGGGAAGCGATCGACAAGCCAGTGAACTTAAAATCTCCCGCATCCCACGTCGGGATTCGACCGCGTCGAATTATTTCTCGGATAGCTACATCACTAGCAGCCACTACAGAAACCGGAATAAAGAATACAGAGACGCTTATCAGGAAGTCATGTGGGAAAATAAAATGAATAAAGAACTAACGGGAATAACCCAAAGGTATTCCAGAACCAAAAATGAAAACAATTATGCCTCATTCGATTACTATCGTAGCAACGACAGTGTGTTTGATAGCAGCGATGGCTTGGCACTGAGTTCGAATGAGGAACTTCATAAGGAACATAAAGACCCAAGTAGAGTGTACGTTCGTTTTTGTGAGAGGACGTCCAGCAAACCAAAACCCGGTGCCAGACATAGCTGGAGCGGCGTACCCCCAAACCGCCCTCGTTCTATACTCAGTTCAACTCAGACCAAAGTTCGTGATCGACACAGTTGGGCGGGACAAACGTCTGGCACTCCTGATTTTAAAAATAACTTTTCTGAACGTAGTTCCCTTCCTGCAGAGATCCTGGACACTAACAACGACCAAAATTCCGACAGACAAATTCATGAAAATATTGAATCAGAACCTGGACCAGACATTCGTGCCTCTGTGACTTTAAATGATCAGTCTCAGCATGCGTCAACGAGCAGCGATAATAATGTACATAATTGTTTTGAAAGAGACAATTCAGGATTTCAATTAGGTTCCAAAGGCTACATGAAATCAATTGACTCTCCAGCTGAAATCAAACCTAGAATTATTAATGAAAAAACACAACCTTTAGAAATTATTAGAACCCATATAGAGAATGCCGATGTGGCAGGCGACAGGTTAGCCGATGCAGAGGATAATTTTGAAAGAATGAAGTCAGCGACAGGATCTTCGACAATTTCTGTCGAAGAAAACGACCAATTTGTTAGAGAAAACGACAATTATAATCCAGTAGAAGTGTCTGAAATAGCCATCGATGATGACTCAACTGAAAATGCCGGATATCTGATAATGACAGTTAAGTCTCCAAGAAAAACGTCGCTTGAAACTAGTGGCTTTGATATTGCAACTGAGGAACCGCTAATGACTGTCTTAAACGATCGCTCGGTTACAGTCTATCCTATAGATGATAAACGAGGAAAAAATCACAGCTCAAGAAAGCGCGAAAGGGATAAAGAAAAGCATATTCCTGCAAACAAACGGAAGTACTCAATAACGCGTCCTGTTTCGCATCGAGTTACAGTCGAGTATAGGAATGAACAGGACTCCGAGAGTGGCGATGATCAGCCGTGGCCGAGTCAAGATCAGGTAGAAACTAGAAACGTGCTGGAAAGAACGCCGCAGCACGAATCACAGAACAATAAAGAAACGATGGATCGGGATGAAAATTTGGAAGAATTTCTCCCTGCTACGAGTGCTTCACGCCCTAGGTATATTCAACACGTACTAGGCAATGACTACGGCACCAGGACAAATTACTACGATAGTGAAGGCAGTGATGCAGTTATCGTGCTTACGGATGAAGAAGAAGATAAGGTCAGGTTGAAGTCCAGTCGTAGATCGGTAAACAGGCCTTCCAGTATTTTAAGGCTTGGGACTATTGAAGAACGTTCAGGAAAACCTGTGGGTGAGTCTCTTAAAAGAATGGAATCGTCGAGCTCGCTCGTAATTCCTCGCATTGTGGTCACTCCGCTCGATAATATTTACGTATCAGAAAACGACTCTAATAATATGAGAGTAGACGAAGGTAAAAGCAACAGCAGTTTACGTCAAAATAAACGGGCAAAGAAAATTGATTCTGAATCATCTAAAAGACCAAAGCTAAAGAAATCGCTCACAAAAACGAATACTCAGTCCATATCCAAAAGTCGCGCGGGCACCCCTTTGAAGGAGTTAGCATCGCCGCACGACATCGATCGTGCGGCACCAAAAACTAGACTCGTCATGCCGGCTATAGCAACTCCAAGCGCAGGCAAGTCTAAGCCTAATAGTATAACATCTGCCTCTAATTCTCTCAAACTTCCACTCATTGACACTGATGGTATGTAATAATGTAACGCAGTTTGACTTGACTCGCAATCAACTGTGCATGATGAAAGCGCGACATGTTCAGTATTTAGAAAATGGCACCTCGGATCAGGAGTACATGGATCTCTCAGGCATTACATATTGCAAATCAAATGCGCTCTACAGAATGCGCAAAAAGGCGCTAAAAAGGCATTTTTTACATGTATCCCTGATGAATGAATATTCGTAGCAGTTTTAGCGTAGATTCTCCTTCACTACAAAATTGGTCAACAGCATGGAAGTCCCGACTAAGGACTATCCATTTATGTAACGCTTTTTATATAAATGTACCATGTAATGAGAACACCTCTTCAATGGTTCATTTGAGATATATTGCATAGATATCACTAACGTGCTTCAGCGAGTATCCTTCACTCTCCACTATTGATTTCGCTTAGTAAATCAATGTCTACTAAGACGACTCAGCACGTCCGGAGGAAGGCTGAGAGGAATTTGCCTCGGCTATTTTTTAGATTTAGAAGAAAGCCCAACTTTACGGATGGTTACGTTCTTCAGTCACTACTTTACAATAATAATAGAAACAAAGCGAACGCAGGTTCTCGTTTTCTTTTCCTCTACTGTGGTCTGCGATTGCTAGCTTCAACAGGAGTGCACTCCCTGCTGTTTCAAATGTTCATGGACTGATGTCCATGACAATGGACATCAAACAATGTACAGGCTACATTTTTTTAACTGCTGTTATGTTTTTACACTCGTGATGTGATTTCCTCTGCCAAGAAATGTGTTTCGAAAATGCCTTCTTCCTGTAAATAAATTAATGTTGAATTTACATTGATCAAAACTAGCACCCAAGAACAGAGCCACAGACTATCACTCATTATCATTGAATGGTTTCAGCCGGAGTTAGGAAATGGTTCCTTAATAAACGCATGAGTTCAATCCTAAATAAGGCTTGACTAAGTTTTAGAATGCAGTTGAAGAATAATCTAAAGTGCCACAGAACTTACATTAATGACATAGGAACAGACGGAAAGCTTTGACGTTGCAAGGAGAGCAGACCTTCGTAGCTAACATCGAACGCTCCTCCCCGTAGCAATTGTTCCAAAGCTTGCCCACGTGACCGAATCCACGTGAGAGCGGCCACGCTCACTATGACGTCATGCGTCTGTGCCAAATGCATTTCTGGGATTTTAAAAATAAACCTAAAGTAAATAGAACTTATTGTGAACTAATGTAATCAAACGGGAAAAGACGCGTGAGCGACATATTAAACTGAGTTTAGACTTTAGAAGCCCATCCTATTGAGGAAGAATAAATACAACCATATATGGAATGCAAAGTCAACGATAATGACAGAATATATCCGTAACAAATTTCCGTTTAAAAAAAATAATGATAAAGTAATAATACATTTTTTAACTTCAAATCGCAGAACTTTTCAGCCTTATTGAGTACTCTTTTCAGTAAATTGGATTAAAGAGAACCTCTGAGACGTCAATACGCCTGCACGGTACAGAGCGAAGCGCAAAGGAGGCGTCACATTCAACACACTACTCTTGGATTCTAAGTTGCCAGATGCTTTCAGCTGACTAATCATTGTGACAATGATATGCGTAAATCTGATCATTATTACAGAATCGTACTATTTAAATCATAGATAAGACTAAATAATCAATAAAATTCTATGCATTTTTGATTGATATTGAATCCTGAAATTACTCAATGAAGTTCAATCGCGAAAATAAGGTTCAGGTGCAAAAAAATTCATTGTTTGACACAATCGAACAAATGAGTTGATTCGACTTGTTTTTTATTCAATTCTGTTTGAAAACTAATTCCACAATAGATTTAACATTAATTTAACTCATAACACGGCATTCATTCAAGACAGTTGAGTCAGTGCCTTGACGCAGTAGCAGTGGGTTCACGCGAAAGTTCAACACATAGGTGGCAGAGCCAGCGAATGTCCCATTCCGGGAAGTTATCCTGAAAGAATGCCGTGCGTATCGGATAAAAGTGACTCTAGATGCTTGAAAGTGAAACAATAATGTACCAGAAAGAATGATGAACTTAGAACTGTTACTTGATGCCGCCAAGTACATTGAAAATCAAGAAAAGAATTGTGAGGCAGGTAAGATTTACTCAGCTGTGTTATTGTCTGGTTTTAGATTCATTTTTGGAGATTATTAGTAAGGGTTATCTATAATAGACGCAAGCTTGATCTAGTATTTGTTGGTTTTCTCAAGTTATATGTATTTAACATTGAAAAACTGGCTCAATACCTTGTATTTTCTACGGAAGATTGATTTTCTGGAGCATCTTTGCAGCAGATCGTGGGTGCTTATCAATAAACGTCCGTGTTTCCAGATGCACGATGACATTCTTTCAACGAATTTGTCTCAATTGCATATTGTTATTCAGTATTCTACCATTACATATATGTAAATTTGTAAGGACATGCACATTCAAAGAGTTTTCTGCGTCAGAGAACACGTTTCCAAAAAAATAACGATTTTAGGCTATGTATTAAATGATTCTGTACATAATATAGCGGTGCATAGCACTCAGGTGCCACTCCACACGTGTGCTTTGAATGCCTCTGAACACTGCTGTTGATAACGCACGCATTTGAGCTTGGTGGTAACCTGCATATTTTGACCTTTACTCGAACGCGACCTCTACTTTATTTTTAACATACTGAAAGCGATAACATTAAATATTTCTGCCATAATTATAAAATAAACTGTTTGTTTATACTAGACCTACTAGACCGTTTACACATTTACTCATGACTCATGATAAATCTTAGCGCATTTTAATTGATGTACGATTTTAGAGAATTTTCGTCAATTCAAATTTCGTAAACGTGCATCTAAGTTGAATTCAATATACTGTACAATTTGCATTTGTGACAGAATCTTTATTTCAGATGATAAAATAGTTAACATCTTACACTTGATTGCTCGAATGTCTGTTTTTCGTCGCAAAGTCACCTTCACATTTCATTCCCATTATGACAATTTGCGATATTTTTAAAGTTATGGCTAATTTTGGTTGCAATCAGTATATATTGTTATACATTTTTTACTTTCAGTATCACTAATATTTATATTGTAATTTGTTATAGTTGTAATATTTTTGTAGAATAATATTGATAGGATGACACTAAACTAACATAATAATAGGATGACACTAAACACTACCGTCACCGGTAGTAGAAAAAGTTTCTCCAGTTGTGAGCAGCTCTTTATTTCTGTTTGTCTGGTGTTTTATTGAGAGTTCTGTGGGGCAAACAACAATAATAACTCACAGTTAAGTGCAACCTTCATTCTAAATACAAGACATCACCGATCTCTTGAAATTTGAAGGCTCATTCGTTTCGATCATTACTCATTTAATCTTCATGAATCAGATACTCTAATGACTTGTCTTGATCGTTTCATTGCCGGAGAAACTAAAGTGCGCATTAAATTGTGTCTGCGTTAAATAATGATGTCTGTTGGTCTGATTAAAGCAGCGATGGCTGGGCAATTGATGGGTTACTGAGCTTTCATATTTTCGAGGTTGACCAGATTCTATAATCGATGACAAGCAAGACACTGCGCAATGTTTGTGTATGTGGCGGTGTCCGGTATCTGCCCGATGGCTGCTCGGAGGACGATGCTCTTACGTATGCATTGCGACTTTAAAGCTTGCGTTCACGTCGACTCTCATGGACTCATGGTGAACGCTCTCAGTGTGATCATACTCTACAACGAGTATCATCTAAGATTGTTATGCTTCCATGGTAGTGATTTGGACGTGATACAGCTCCAGCGCGAGATTGGAAAGAAAAAACGAGCACATCCGTTGAATCTTACTAGAAGTTTTAATATAAGGAAACATAAAGTTTTCTGTGTTTATAAAGATGCTAAATCTTCATTGATAATCGCAATTCAAAAGTGTACCGCATTTTGTCATCACTGTTTGTTTTATACTCATTTGGTATTGCTGTGACACAAGATAATTCTTGAATGACGCTGCATTAAGTGCATTAGTTAGGCATGCTGGCCCCGCAGAGATTAGATTCCTCTTTGTTCGTGGCTAAACTTACTGCCATGTCTCCTAGGTTCAATCTTTAGCGACGTTCGAACAGATCTTGCAAAAACCTGTCCAGCCTGCTGCACCTGCCTAAATTGATGCAGGACCTTGCAGTGTAATTGCTATGTCCTGTAGTTGTTCTGAATATCTTAAAAATAGTTTAGAGCGGAATTTTTCCTGTATATTACATGGCCTGAATGAAGTTAAATTTATTACATAGGAATAATGTGGTGCTCCCTATCATCTTCATCATTCATGAGTCATGACTAACTTTACCTTGATGTTGAGGTTTTTCAGGAGCGGCTTAAACACAAGAGGAGCACTAAATTACCCACATTCTTCCTGCCATTAGCGCCAAAAACAACACTAGATGTCCATAAATATTCCCGTGGTTGGCGTTAAGCCAAGAATATCTTGTCATTAGGTACAATATGATTCATTCGTGTCTAATGTCCTCACAAAAGCGGGACTAGCATGAGGCTTTTCAGTATGAACACATTCCATCGAGATTGTTGTATAAATTCTTGTGTCAATAATAGAGCTGATTGATCCAGTTCAATTCCAACTTTCTGATAAAGATATGTACTATTCTTCTTCTTGGAAACTTTTCATTTGTTTCCATTTGGAAACTTTTTTTCACTTGTACAATTGCGTTAACAATGAGTTTAAATCTATTACAATTAACTTTTGCATTTTAAATATATTATCTGTAAATTTAGCAGCGCTGAAACCAGGATCGAATCAAAAAATTTCTTGCATGTATTGATCGGCTGCTGATTTCCTAACGAGTAATGTTACAACTAGGTCGCATAAATTATTAATCAAGATAATTTTTCAATGTAAATCCATCTAAAGAGGCGAGCTCCAGCCAACTGATAGTTTGAGTGCGAGCGCACTTATTCTATTTTGAATCGAGATAATTTTTTGCATCAGGTTCAAGTAGAAGTTAGTTCATCTGTTGTCTTTATGCTCGCGTAAACATTAACCTTCAATATCAGAGAAACATTTTATATTATTTCGGTATTCGTTTGCTCCCAGCATGTTTTTCTTAAAATGTTGCCTATAGCTTTCGTAATGGTCGCTAAGATGAACGCGCATCGCAAACCGAGGCTCGGCAGTCAGCATCGGGTGGCTCATGGATTGCATGCCTCATGGGCGGAGCGTAGGTGGCACACGTGGTGAGCGGATGACGTATCGATTTCAAAACCAAGATTCCCTAGTCGTGAGGAATGTCTTACGTTCCGTGTATACAAATTATAAATTTCTGACATCTATTTTTGTGTTTCGAGGCTAAAACAGGCAAGAAATGATGTTGTTCTTCGAGCTCGCCGTGAGGGTGCATATGGTGGTATTTGGCATGTTTTCCGTCTGGCAGCGGCTTGGTGCACCTGTTAGTTTACCCCGCGTCCCAACCTCCCTTCAGCGCGCACATTCCGTCTCCCCTTGCAGACGTCAAATTGTCGCTCTACCCTCCCTCACCTTGCGTCACCTCATGCATGGCTCAAGTGACGTGA